ACATAAGCGGTAGCCAAATAGCCACAGACTCGTAGAAATTTAGTTTTGGATAGTGGTTTTCAATTTCCACAGGCCCCTTTGGCTAGTAAACAAACTGAAATTGTTGTAGCATCTAATTTGTCACGAGCCACTTGGCTAGTAAGTTAAAAAGTTAGTGTCGAGCACTGATTCTTATGATAAACTGTACATTGTTTTATTATGATTGATGATCGTTAGTATTTATTGAGTTTTATCTGAACAGGAATGAGATGATTCTGCTGTATGATTTGAAGCAAGCAGCTGGGAACTGTGAATTTGAAATCCAATCTTTGAAGTAAGTGTTAACTCTAATGACGTTTGGAGCCATAGCCTTCGTCAGAGCGAATGACGAAGGACTGACGCTCGAAACGTCAGCTTTACCGACTCTTCACAACGACCAACTGACGTCATCAACCGCCATTGACGCAGCGCCATAGTGTCTTTAGAAACCAGTACCCCTTTAACTATACTGAGCTTGTTAAATGAACATTTCTACACGAATCGTCCTCATTGAAGTAAACATTTATACCCGAAAAACACTTTTGAAACAGAGCGGGATTGCATTTCCTAGGTGAAATTCTATCTAGCTATAATTAAGTGATCCACTTTAGATTCAGTGGATTAAATACCTGTACAGTGTACATCTCAGTTGAAGAAAAATGTGCAAGGACTTCTTGTGCACGGCGTAAACCACTTGTACTGGTCTTACTTAAGCTCATTTCAAATTTAATTTCATAAATGTAAACTGTGCAGAAAAAATCCTTTCATACTTTCCTTTTTATGTTGTCAGAACATGTCATTTTAACTGCCTATTCTTTTATGATAGACATCGCCTGGAAGCATTGGGAAAAGACATATCTACCATAAACGGTATTTAGGAAATTGTCTTACATGCAGTTGTTTGCACTTGTTCTTGATTATAATGTTGCTATTGCTGTCATCTATTGCTTTATCCTGCATTGTTTTTAAAAGAGAACGTATCTTGTATGTAACACGGTTTTTATTGTGAACTTTTATTTTTGTTAGTTCCTGTGGAAGCCGTCACTGCTGTTCCCAAAGTGGTTGGTATTCCTTTCCGAGATCTCGTTTACTTTTCTGTGACAAACATGTGAAATATTCTTCAACCATCAGCACAAAATATGCTTTTATTTCCAGTTTATCATATCAACCTTATTTGATGATGTAAAGTACAATACGTTGAGATATCTTATGAGTTGAGTTGCCTTTGTCCAAGCGCCGTTAGGGTAAGGAAAAATACGAGGAATGAGAAAAATGTGTATTAAATGTTAAACCATCGAATAAGGGATATATTATTCCACTATTATTTAACCTTTTAATATTTTAGCATCTTCTTACTGTCTTATCAGAGCATCGTTTCGATCGTATAATACTTTTTTCCC